TCTGGTAGGGTTGTCCTGAAGAAACACTTTGCCAAGCCAACCAACCACTCTCTCAATCCACTGTGGAACATCATTAGTGTGTGAGGTGTAATAACACTGAAATGCTCCAGCCTGACCCAGCAACCATACACCTTTGACAGGACCCTAGAGGAGCATCAAACCTATACTCCACTGCCCAAGGCTAACTGTGGCTGCTCGAAGAGCTTGCAGGTTCATGACTCTAGGCTCATGATCACTGTGGGGACACCCACTCTGATCACTCCCCATCATGGCTAATAGGCATCCAAAGGGGATAGGATACTTGAAAAATGGGAGGTCAGGAGTGAAGCAGAAACAGCTTCATGGGGCTAAACCCAGCTTTTCCACAATGCTGGGAATCCCATAGCAGAATTGCATACCATACCTCAATAGCGTCGGCAACCAGAGGCCTTCACTGAGATGCCCTAACTCCATGCTAGGGTACAGACTGTAGGTTAATCCAGAAGGAACTGTTAAATGAGCACAGGTTTTATAGGGCAGTGGAAAGAGAGTATGGAGGGCCTGTCTTGCCATACTTGCCTAGGGAAACCCCTTGGAGCCACGTCTGGCCCAGGATTCTGCTTCTAGCCATAGGATTCTGCACAGGCCTATTTAGTACATACCAGATTTGTCCTTGTCACCAGGGTCCAGGATTGGCCTCTACACGGCACCAAGATAACCTCAACCATCACTATTCCTGGTCAACCTGCCTACTTCTTGGTATCAGGTCTGCAGAAAATCCACTTTTGCCCTTGACAGGACACAGCCCAGGGAGATGTCTCACCTTATGGAACTCACGAAGAAACGAACGCTCATATTCTCCTCGGCAGCGGTCTTCCATCCTTTCCCGAGTCACCTGGTGCAGGGTGGTGGTTACGGCCTCAGCGCTGACACGCTCCAGCAGACTGAGTCTATGCCTAGAGGAAATCCCCGCTCATGGAGAACCCAAAACATACACCTGTCCCTTACCTAGGAGGGTCCTTCTATACCCCAAACCTATGTCCAGGACAGACTGTAAACTTGCTACACAATAATCCCTGACTATGCTGGGCAGTGGTGGTGCACACCTTTAATCCCAGCACTTGGGAGGCAGAAGCAGGGAGATCTCTGTGAGTTCCAGGCCAACCTGGTCTACAGAGTGAGTTCTAAGACAGCCAGGACTGTTACACAGAGAAATTCTGTCTTGAAAAACCAAAATAAAATAATTCCTGGCTACAAGTGCATAAGGAAAAGACCTCACTTGTCAGTTTACTAGTTCTCTACAGAGGTCTACCGAATGCAGAACGAATGGGGCACCCAGAGGAACGGGGGCGTGGCCGAGGAGGTAGTACTCACAGAACTTGGCTGAGCTGTTGGAACTGCTCCAGAGCCTGCCGGCACCAGCACTGCTGTTTGTCACTGCCACATCCTGCGCACAGAGGGCTCTGCAAGAGCCGGTAGTACCTGCGGCGGGCATACCGGCTGTCCAGCTCACCCTCTAGTTCGGGGTCTGTGCCCCCTTCTCCTTTTCGCTTGCTCTGCATATAGACTCTCAGGAAACGACCATAGAGACGCTGGACCATTTCCTGGAATGCCCTGGGGGTGGAAAAGAACAGGACTCCCCGCAACATGGTGTGAACTTTCTCCCGAAGCCCCTGAGCTCCAGTGCCCATCAGCAAGCCCAGACGAGTCCATTTCTCTAGGAGTTCTAGGCTACGCAGGTAGGGGTCCAAGCGGCTTTCCAGGAGGCCGAACGCATCCAGGAGCAGTAGAAGGCATTGGGGCTCATTAACAGAGTTTTCGCGCTGGGCGATGGCATTCCAGAACTCTGGGGCAATGTTGCCCTGCAGGTCGTTCTGCAGCACCTCCACAAACCATTCCTCCAGGATTGAGTGAAGACCATGGCCCCTCAGAACCTCCACCGCTGCACGGAGCTCTTCCTCCTTTGGTGGAACCGCACCGCTGGTCCGGGAAGATGCCTGGAGCACGGAAAACCGTGAGCAGAGGGGCGGGGTAGAGATAAAAGGAGGAGAAGGGAGGGAAATGAAAAAAATCTCAGCAGCCAAAGGCTGCAGGAGAAACCAAACAAATCAGATAGCTGACAAAGGAGGCAAGTCGCCTGCAGGCAGCTCGCATGGACCCAAGGGTGGACTCCCTAAAGCGTGCAGAGTCAGGGAACTCTATACAGGCCCGCCAACCTTTCCCAGGCCTCACCAGACCCAGGGCGGCCGGCGGCACCAGACCAGCGCTCACGGTGTTCCAAGCAACCAAAAGCTCCTGTCCAGGCCTAGAGTCACAGTCATCGGCGGCGACAACTGCCGCTGCCGCCGCCGCCGCCGTCACCGCCACAGCCTCGGCCTCCATCAGTGTCCACAAAACAGACCCGCCCAACGTGGCGCACGGCGATGACGCAAGCATGGGACCGGCGCGCCGCTGTGACGTCCGCCTGTACACGCGCGCGCGCTGTAGAGGCAGTGCGCAGGCGCAGGGGCCCCTGGCTGCGTGGGCGGCGGTTGGGGCTTCCGGACGCGGCGCCGACCATGACCCAACAGGGCGCGGCGCTGCAGAACTACAACAACGAGTTGGTCAAGTGTAAGCAACGGGCACGGGGGGCTGAGGGCCACGGGCCGGGGTCTGGCCGACCCACACGGGAGGCCGCGCGGACGCTCACGAGCCCGGCTCGGCGGCCCGCCCCGGGGTCGTGCTCGTCGGGGCCCGAAGCTCACGAGCCCCAGCCCGCAGCTCTGTCTTCCCGCCCACCCTAGGCATCGAGGAGCTGTGTCAGAAGCGAGAGGAGCTGTGCCGGCAGATCCAGCAGGAGGAGGATGAAAAGCAGCGGCTGCAGAATGAGGTGAGGCAGCTGACGGAGAAGTTGGCCCGCGTCAACGAGAACCTGGCGCGCAAGATCGCCTCTCGCAACGAGTTTGACCGGACCATCGCAGAGACAGAGGCCGCCTACCTCAAGGTGGGGCTCTCAGCTGTCCTGTGGGTGCCTCCTCACTAGGATCTGGGGCTCGGGCCCATTGCGGCTGTGGGCCGTGTGACAGTGGAGCTGCCTCTCTGTGGCATCCAAGCGAGTGAGCAGCGGTGTGTTGGACAGAGCACATAACGTGGGCCAGGACTAGCCCAGCTTGTCTTTGCAGGGAGGGAGGGAGGGCTTTGGGAGGGCGACTGTTATCCCCCTGTGGCCGGTTGGTTTCATTCTCCAGTGTGAGAGGCTGAGTCGGTGGGGATCTTCCTACCAGAGGAGTAACAATCCTTTTCTTTTCTGTGGCCCCAGATCCTGGAGAGCTCTCAGACTCTGCTTAGTGTCCTCAAAAGGGAAGCTGGGAACCTGACTAAAGCCACAGCCTCCGACCAGAAGAGTAGCGGAGGCAAGGACAGCTGACGAGTGCCTGCCTCAGCCGTGGCCTATGGCTGCCCAGTCCCCAACATGTCTGTCCTAAAGCATCTTTGTTCTTCGTGGCCTCAGATGCTTCTCACTATCTCAGGTGCCCAGAGAGGCAACTCCCGACCTTCACCTGCCTTGGGTGACAAGAAAAGCCCGGGACAGTCCAATGGGAAGTGGGTTCCCGGCTCAGTACTCACATGTGTCATGGGGACCATGAGCTCCTCATGAGCTCCATGAAGGGCCTCTCTCTGAAGCGTCTGTATCCCCTTGGGCTGCCAGGGAGGTAGGTCCTGGTCCTAGTCCAAGAACTGTGGGAGCCCCTCACTTTGTCTCCTCAGCCACTAGGGGCCCAGGCCAGGCATGTTGAGGAAAGAATCTTGACTCCAGAACTGAAACCTTAGGGCCCATCCCCATGGACTCTGATGTTTCAATAAAGATTGTTTTACAAAGATCTGTGGCATCGTCTGCCAGCTACCATGTATTCTATTGGTAGGGAAGAGGGCCTGCAGTTTCCCTGGACTGTCCTGTCTTCAAAACGCAGCCCTACCCCTTAACTCTGCCTGTAAAGGTGCTGGTCTTTCCCCTGAGTTCAGTTCACAAGCCACTTTGCTGTGCCATGGTGGCCAGCACAGAGCCTGGCGGCACTGTATACCAGCTCTTGTGGCTCTAGGTCCCGACACAGATACCTGTCTGTTCCTCAACGTTCTGTTTGGTCCAGTACACTGCTGTTGCTGCCAGGACCCATCTCCCAACCACAGGAACTGCTTGCTCCTAGTTCCATGTGCCCTACTGCCCAGCCCTTTGCCACAGCTTCTTGGGCAAATTTGGAAGTATTTGTTGACCAAAAAAATCCTGAAAACAGGTTTGGTAGTTTACACTTGTAATCCCAACACTGAGGACAAAGGGTGGCTTTAAGTTCAAGGTCATTCTAGGCTGCATAGTAAACTGTAGGCCAGCTTGGGGTATAGTGGGAGACCCTTTCTTAAAATGTATCCATTAACGCTGGGCGTATTCTCTGAGGGAAACATACATAACATTCGTCTGAGGCCAGTGATGCACTATATCTGCTCTTAGGTGACAGGAAGAGAAGACACTTGCACTTAGTGCCTGTGACAGTTTGCCCATGTCTGTAGATAGCCCTGTCTCTGCACTGGCTGCCCAGGCCTCTGAGGACACAGCTTCCAAGCTCTGCATCTCTCTAGACTCTGTCACAGTCTCATTGGTCAGGAGGGTATCCAAATCAAAGATGAGAAAAGCCCTCCCAAGTTCCACTTTGCCCATTCCTGTGCTGTACACAAGTAGCTTCATTACTAGGTTCCTGGCCCCATGGTGAATCTGTCTTTACAGCACTTAACCTTCCTCTCATCTGACATCTAGGCCCCTGGGATATGGAGTTCCGCACCCAAGATTAGATCACTCACCACTGTACTAGCTTTGAGGGAGACAGTTACATGCTGGGGATGGGGAGAGAAATGAGCAAGAAACCAAACCAGCAAGGCCTCAAGGAATGAACGCCAGACTGAGGCCACCTTTTGCTTCTTTGTACAGGTGCCCAAGTTAGGCCTCCACCTTGCTCTCAGACTGAGGGCTGTGTAAAGAAGGCAAAAGCAGCCTTGTTACAGTGCTGTTTATTGAGTCCAGTATCAGGGGAAAAAACACCCTGCCATCCATCATTAAGGGTAGCTGAGTTCTACCATAGTAGAATCATGGGGTGGGGGCAGGAACTCGGGGTTCAGCAAAGAGCAAATAACTAGGACAGCCTCTCACTCCTGACAGTGGGTACTCCCGAGAGGCAGGACAGACGTCACCAGAGGACAAGATCTGTTCAGGCCCCGACCTCCTCACAGATGGGACGATACAGGCAGATGTCAACCTGTTCCCATCTGTTCCTCCTTGGAGCCCCAAAACAGGAATGAGATTCAGACCTAGCCCTAAAGCAGGAAACAGCAGGGAGAGGGAAAGCAGGGAGAGCCACATGGAAGGGGCATAGAATAGTCAGGGCTGCTGGGCATTGACTGGCTTCCAGAACCGCCACACCTGGGGCTAAGTCTTGGCCCTCCTGGCAGCTCCAGGGGTCAGAAATAGAGGGCTGGCTCACTGCGGAAGTCCGAGAGGTCATTCTGACTGGCAGGTGTCAGCTGAGAGAAAGAACAGAACATAGCCACTAAGGATTTCCAGGCATCAACCCCTTCCCAAGCAGGTCAGCCCTTGGGGGCCTGGGTGTTCGCCCCTAGCTCCACCTGGCTTACCATGACTTCCTTCAGTGGGAGTTCCCCCTCACTCGGGGCCTGCACCACCGTCTGCTCCTGCCACTTCATGAAGGCCATGGAATGCTTGGGAGTGTAGCTGGACAGGCCTGTGGACCAGAAATAATAGGCACAGACACATGGAAAATGTGGCCCAGGTGCCACCCCCAGGCTGTGCGTCTCAACAGGCGGTGATTACCTGAGCTGCCATCTGGTAGTCGGGGGCTCTCAGGTCCTACACTGCTTATAAATGTGGCCCGGGGCAGGAAGACCGAGAAAGGCTTCTCTGAATCAGGCTCTGCTTCCTCTTCTTCACCGTTCTCCTCTCCTTCCTCTTCGTCCTCCTCTGCCTCTTCCTGTGCCAGGGAGCTCTCAGAAGGGTACTCAAATGTTGTTTGCAGGCTCTTGTCATTGAAGGAGATCTTCATCTAGGAGCAAGAGCCATGTCAGAAGGGGTCCTACCACCCAGCTAAGCAGAGATGCTACCAGGGAGAGCAGACCCTTCTCAAGAGTTACAGGCCCCACCTATCCTACACTCTGCCGGCAGCAGCTCCTAAAGCTAATTCCACATATTAGGTGTCTGTGCACCTAAACATCCTGAGCACCAACCAACATACTGTCAGGGGCCTGCTTAAGAAGTTAATGCTCGGGCTGGAGAGATGGCTCAGAGGTTAAGAGCACTGACTGTTCTTCCAGAGGTCCTGAGTTCAATTCCCGGCGACCACATGGTGGCTCACAACCACCTTGAATGAAATCTGGTGCCCTCCCCTGGCATGCAGACAGAAGACTGTATCTACACAATAAATAAATAAAATTAAAAAAAAAAAGAAGTTAATGCTCTTCGCTCTTCCTTCCTCTCTCCCTCCCTCCCTCTCTTTCTCTCTTCCCTTTTCCCGCTCTCTTCCAATAAAACTCCCTACATTAATAATAATAATAAAAAGGCTAGTACCCAGAACATTACCCATTTTTCAGGCTAGTAGGGTATCCCACTTCCATAGAGTTTAGGGTACCCGCAATATCATCAGTGACCCGCAACTCCTACAATGCTGTGTACCTCAATGGCTCTAGAATTTCATGTGCAAGCAAAATTTCCCTTCTCTCTCAGTGTCCTGGTTCTGAAGAACAGAAAGCTGTAGGCATCCTCTGTCATGATCCTCCTGCCTGCTACCTGGGCTGGGAGTGCCCCCCCCCACACCTCAGTTTATGACTGCTGAGGTCCCCAGCTCTCTCGGCTGAGCTCCGTCTAGTGGGTAATGAACATGAGCACTCTTCTGCGGCAGATGGGGCAGTCTTGCCGGGCTCGAAATATTAAACTCCCAGGCACAGGACACCAACAGCCAGCTCAGGTTCCCCCTCTTCCCCTGGAAGGAGCCAGAGGCCCAGCAGGATGAAGAGTAGCCTCGCAGGAGGGTTGAGCCTGTCCTGAGGCAGCAGAGTGACCCTGGCACAGGCCACAGAATGCACAGGGGCCCACAAAAGCAGGCAGCCTGGATTAGGAGCCAGCATCCTGCTTCCTGTCCCCCTCAACCAATGGCCACACTAGCCCATGTGGCTATTGATAGCCCTGAGCCCTCTGCCCATTGGGAGAGTCCCCCACCCAATGGAGAAACGAGAAGCAGGGGAAAGGCCTCAGGAATGAGAGCACCTAGCAGCTCCTCAGCCTGCTCAGGTCTATTCTTGCAGATCCCCCTACTTTGGCCATCTGTACACATGAACAGGCAGATGGAGAGACCCCCCCTGAGTCAGGCAAAACGCAGAGATGTCCACTCCTGCCATAGGAAGGCATGCTGTACCCTGCTCTGGCCTCAAGGCCTACCTAGTTCTTGAAGACTAGATCAAATTAGAGACAAGTGAGGTAGAGACTTAGGGACATTGTCACCTGACCTTCCTGACTAGCCTTCTGAGGCCGGTACCCCACCCAGTAGGAGCCCAAGACCAGATAGGGTCTAACCAGCATGAAGCCTTCTACACTAAAGTGGCCCCTGAATGGGGCCTTTGAGGCCCATCCCCCTACTCCTGAGAATACAGGACCAGCTGCCAGGGCCCAGCTGGATTAGCACACCCTCATTAGTCTGCATGACCAGTTTCCACAGGGAGGCTGGGGGGACAGATACATGTGGGTATGGTGCCTGGCACAGCCTGGCCAGGCCGGGGGTGGGGAAGAGGCTTATAGGCCTGCCTGTGTCAGCTGGGGCCCAGCTCCCCCCAGGCACTTACTATCTCCCTTGTCTCCTCTGCCAGACCAGAGTTCATAGGCCTCCTCCTCCCTTCCAGCATAGGTCAGTGGGTCACATGGTGACTCATGCTTATGACCCCTGCAAGGGGTGGAGCCGCCAGGGCAGGTGGGGGAGGTAAAGGCAGGGATTGTCACTGTATACAACCTGGTCACCAGTATCTGGGGGACTTTACCCAGCATACCTGACACAGCAGGCGGGTGATGGAACCTCTGGGCTTTCACTGGGACTTTGGTGGCAGAGCCTCCCAGCTTTTACAGGGCCCTTTTGTTCTTCAACCTGCCCTACCCATACACACCCAGCTTGGGTTACCGAATGGTGTCCACCCTGGGACTCAAAGCAGGGAAACTACTCAACCGCCTGGAGGTGATGTTTAGCCAGACCCTGCCCCCACTCCCTTGCACATACTGTCTGGCTCCCATCCCCCATTGGGCCCCAGCCAAAGTTCCCAAGGGTGACAGGACAATGGATCAGAGCTACCCGACTGGGATAGCCACAGCTGCTTCCTCCTGAGGGCAGACCCGGGACCAGTGAGATTTCCTAAATAAGAGTCCAGTCCCTCTCTGAGGTCTCTAGCTTCAGAAAGATCATCTAGGGGTCACCCATGCGAAGACTTGGGGGAGAGAAACTGAACAGAAAGGAAGGCAGTGAGAAGACACTCGGGCCAGCTTCAACTAGACTGAAGGAAGCCGATGTTCTGGAAAGAGCCAAAAGGACAGACACACCTTCAAATAGGAGCCAGGCTGAGGGTCACAACTAGGCCACGCAAGTTAGGGTGAAGGTTACACCTTCTGGGACGGTGGGAAGCCTGAGCCTGAGGACACTAACATGCTTGGGTGTGGCACCGGAACAGGAGGTGGGAAAGAGGAAGCAGCAGCCAGACAGGAGCCACTGGTGCTCCCAATCAGGGAGGGAGGGGTGAAAGGACACCCCTCTTGCCTAGAAGACAGTGGGGGGCTGGGAGGCTGCAACACGCTACATCAGGGAAGAGAGGTACAGACAGGGGCTCTCTCCCAGGAGGTAACCTAAATGGAATTGTCTCTGCCAGCCTGCCCCTCAAGGACACTGGGCATCAGAGGCAATCCTCACTACCCGGAACAAGGCTGAACCCCTGGGAAGTCACGGTACCCTATGCCAAGCTGCCAAGCCAAGGCAGGCTACCCCACATCATGCCCTGCTGCCTTAGAAGGCCCAACGAAGAGCAATCCCTCACCTGCCCCTTAAAAAACCACCAGCGTTGCCTTGGGGTCACCCAGTCATGGGGGAAGGGGACCAAAGTGTGCAGTTGCCCCAGGTCCTCCCATCAGGAGGAAGCAGGAGTCAGGACCAGGCCAATGACTTGAGCCTCACAGCACCCTGGGTTTCCCTAGGGGTTGCAGGTAGGAGAAACGTCAGGGAAAGGACAAAGTACAGGGAGGCCTTGCCCTGAAGGCCTCGCCCTGCACACTGCTCTGAAGGTTGGGCAGCTCTGTGCCCTGCCCCCTCCCACAGGCACTCCATGTCTTGCTGGGCAGGGCAGCTGGTGCATGCACAGGCAGGACAGCACGGCCAGCAGGTTGTTCAGCTCCAGAAGGCCCTGCCCAGGCCACCTGGCCATGAGCACCATCCATCTGGACCCCCAACTACCTCAGACCGGCCCAGACAGCCAGGCTGCTGGCCAGGGCCCTCCCCCAGCTCCCGCTAGTATCTGAGCCTTGCCCTGCTTTTGTGCTTGAGATCTACATGAGCTACCACACCTGGTACCCCTGCTCTTCTCACTTAAACCTTGCCATGAGTGACTCCCACAGCTGTCCCTCGACAGGGCAGGAGAGCCAGGCTCTCAGTAGCAGCCTTCCAGTCTCAAGATGAAACCAAGTTGAAGGTGGAGAAGTATCCCAGGATAGGAACAAGGCTCTGGAAACAGGAACCTGAACTCAGCTCCTGTCCCATGAGCTCCGAGGCCTCATGAGCCTCCCCAGCTTGAGCTTCCTCATCCACAAAGGGGTGCTTCCATCACTTCTCGGACAAGCACGGGGATGGGGCCACCTCCCGGAGGTGCCAAGGTCAGGGTCAGGAAGCAGGGAAGGAAGGAATAGGGGGAAGGCGCCCGGAACAATGTGCCCTAAGAACTCGGGGTAAAGAGGACAGACGGCAGTGGATGAGACATGGCCTCGTGCGGCAAAAACTGAGTCCAAGAAAGATCACTGCGGATTCCTGACCCAGCGGATGGTTAGCAAGAGAGATGATGCCAAGCCCAGTGGTGACAGGAAGCAAAAAGTGATGGAAAAAATGAAGAGTGAGGAAAAAATGAAAAGAGAGGTGTGGGTTATTACAAACGGTCCCCAAGGAAGTTGAGGCTGGAGATGGCTAACCTGGGTGAGCCTAGTTTCTAGCTGTTGTGGAGCAGAAACGGTTGGTGCCATCTTGTCAGAAGGGAAAGGTACACCTCCCTGTACCAGCTGACTGAGAGTCATGTGTGGTTGGTCTTGGAATTTGCCCCAGGGGACAAACACAGACCCTGGAACAATCAGGAAGAATCTGCAGAACACTTTCCTTGTGCCCAGAGGGTTCCAAGCCACTGGCCAGAGCTAGACAGGAAATACGGCTCACTCTGGCCAGCTATGAGCCTCTAGGGGACTGTTCTTGAGTCTCTCTGCCCAAGCTCCTCTTGACCAAATCTGACATGAAGCCTTGGTGCTCAATCCATGCTTGCAGGAGGCAGAGGCCTGCCAAGCTCCGGTACCTTCCAGGGTGTTGAGAACCTCCAGTTGGCTTATAGACTGTGTCCAGGCTGACCTCAGGGTGAGGATCTGCAAGGAATGACTGGCCTACCTCCTTCTCATTTACATCCAGGCTCTGGATATCTGCCCCAGTCAAGTTCCATAGGAACAAACCAGGTTACTTTCAAATCAAAGACCAAGTCAGAGCCAACGGGCCAGGCTATTTCCTGAAGGTAGACCTGCAATGAGTTGAACTAACAATGCAGTTACTTAGAACCAGGAGCTCTGCTCTGGCTGGCCAGCTCTCCCTTCCAGATCTCTGGGGTCGACAGTAGGTGGACCAAGCCCATCCTTGAGTCATCACAGATCAAAGGCCCAATTTTTCCATCATCTCTATGGAAACCGACCGTGCCAGCAGCAGCCCTCTCCTACCTACCACTTACCTTTTTTCTTGAGGAGCCAGCCTTGATGAGGCAGGACTTCTGCAGGGCCAGGTAACCACCAATCACTTCAATCTCATGCACAGTGGGGTAGCGTTTCTTAAGGGTGTTCTCCAGGGCAGTGTGGGGTCCTGAGAGACTATCAGCATCCTGTTCCTCAGCCTCCTGTTGCTGGGACTGCCCGTTAGCCTGTCTGAAGTGAGGCTCCTGAAGGGCCTCTGGCTTCCTCTTGGGCACCACTATGAAAGTGTTGCTGCCTCTGTTTGGGAGCTCAGAGGTGTGCCCAGGCCTGGCAAGGTCCAGGTGGTACTGGGGGGCCACACCAACGGCTGAGGACGGCAGTTTGGCTTCTTGGGAGGCCTCCTCTTCGGAGTCCACTTCATCAATGAAGGTGACTGGAAGTTCTGGCCTCCCAGGCTCCTGGCCATTCTTGGCCAAGCCAGGAACCCCCAAGCCCTCAGCTGGCTCAGCTTCAACAGTGGTTGGTAGAAATGGAGGTGGTGAGGACGGCCTCTGCCACCTAACAGACCGGTCTGTGACAGCAGTGGCTGGCCTGGGACAGCCCCCCCCTCCCTAGCTGCCCACTGCATCTCAGCAGCCAAGGGACTCCTCCCTGGGACAGGTGCACCATCCACTGCAGACGCCAGCTGAGCTCTGAGCCCCTGGCTCCGGGAGGCCCGGTCTACCTCCCCGTTTGGCTCCTCTGACTGCCTCCCCTCTGCCTCCGAAGGATGGTTCCCAGGGGCCTTGCGCTTGGGGATCAACATGAAGGAATTGCGGGAGTTAACACGGAGGTTGGCCAGAGCCCTGGCCTGAAGGTCGCCGACTGGGATACTTTCCACGTCTGGCTTGGGGGCTGGCCTTATTTCGAAAGAGTCATTGGCGCTTGTGGCCGAAGAGACCCACCGGCGCTGGCTGGGAGTGGCACTGGCTGGGCTGGGCGCTGGGAAGGAAGGGGGCCCAACTGGAGTGGCACTTGGGGTCCCCGGACTGGGGGGCGGGTGGGAGGGTTCCCCTGACTCCACCTTTGGCTTCCACTTGCCCGGCGCAGGCGGAGAACCCGACAACCCATTGGCAGGGCCGGCCGGGGACTTCTGGGTCACGGGTCCATTAGAAAGCGAGCGATTGACCGCACTGCGAGGCAGGCCCCGGGGGTGGACAGTGAAGGAGTTGCTGCCGGTCTTCTGTAGGAAGTCGCTGCGCCGGGTCCCGGGGGCCTGCGATGCCATAGGGGTGCGCAGGCTCGCAACAGGCGGAGCGCTGACCCGCGCGCAGGGCAACGGGGACAGGCGAAGCAGGGAGTGCGGGCTGGCTGAGAGGCACCGATGGGGCAGAAGCCAACGACCGATTGATGGGAGCGCGCGCGGGAGTAGGTGCAGACGCCACGGGAAGCTGCGGGAGCCCAGGGCGGGAGCGCTCCGGGCTCCCGCGGCTGCGGGGCGCGGCTGGCGAATCGAACTTCTCCAACAGGCGACTGACACGGCCCGGCTGAGGCGCCTCGTACACCACTACTTCGGCAGCGCGGATGCCCGCAGCAGGCGGCACGGCGGGCGGGAAGCCAGGCACTGACTCGATGATGAGGATGTTGTCGGCTCGGATGGTACGCACGCCGGGCACGCGACGGTACAGCTCCAGCAGCTGCTGCGCGGGCCGTGCCCCGCGCCGCCGCTCGGACTCAAGTCGCATGAACGGGTTCTCGCTTAGGGGACCCAGACTCTCCGCCAGTACCAGCTTCTCGTTCTGTCCCTCGGACGCCGCTCCGAGTCCCGGGCCTCCGCTCAGGGCGGCCAGTTTAGCTCGCCTCCGCTCAAGAATCTCCCGCTTCCAGGCGGGCATCGCGGTGCGCGGCCCCGGGCCCGGCCGCCCTAGGCCGGCCATGCTGCAGACGCAGCCGCCGACGGGACTGCACAGGCTGCCGCTCGCCGCGACAGACTCTCAGCTACCTGCCTCAGTACCGCGCCGTGCCACGCCCCCCTTGGTAGCGGCCAATTGGGCAAGTGTGCTCTGACCCAAGGGCAGATCTGCCCGCCAATGGTAGAGGTATGCGCCCCAATTGATTGGAGGAAACGCACTTACACCCTCCCCTATAGCGTTCTTATTGGACTACGACCGGCACCGTCCAGTGCCTATTGGTGAAGATCAGTGGAGGCACAGCTCAATGGCTGCCCCTCACTTCCGCCTCTGCGCTCTGAACACGGGAGCCTGAGAACCACAATTAGGCAGGGCTGGTCTTGGCTTAATGCCTAGCGGACCCTTGCGACCTAGATGACCTTGGTACAGTTCCGACTTCCTCGACACTCACACAACTACTCTGTTTTCTCAGGAGATATCTCTGAGCGGGAGCTGGGAGGTCCTAGCTCCCGTGGACAGTACAGGAGCGCATGGGCCTTCCACCTTTGGGCCCAGACCCTGCTCCAATCTGGAGTCCTTGAACCTCCGTGGACAGGCAGGCGAGCGATCCTTTAGGACCTAAAAATGCTGCTTCTGAGATCCGCCCAGGAATAAGGAAATGTTTTTTTGTTTTTGTTTTTCCGAGAATCTCGGTTTTGTAGACCCCAGACCTGTTGCTTAGACTATGTATGTGACTCTGTGGTGCACAGCTTGCCATCTGTGGTCCTGCCAGGTAGCCATAGGTGTAGGAGACACCAATGAAGCAGCCTCATTTCTACACACAAACAGGTTACACATACAAACAGAGCTTCACACCTAGGCAGTTCTGTTATGCAGAAGAGCACAGAAACTAGGGTAAGGGCCAGGCAGAGGTAGCCAGATCTCTTGAGTTCAAAGCCAGTCTGGTCAACAGAGTGAGTTCCAGGACAACCAAGGCTACACAGAGAAACCCTGTCTCAAAAACTTTAAAAAACAGACAAAAAACAAACAAACGCTGGGCGTTGGTGGTGTACGCCTTTAATCCCAGCACTCGGGAGGCAGAGGCAGATGGATCTCTGTGAGTTCGAAGTCAGCCTACAGAGTGAGTTCCAGGACAGGCTCCAAAACAATACAGAGAAATCCTGTCTTGAAAAACAAACAAACAAACGAAATACCACCAAAACTAGGGTAAGGGTAGATTCCACTTACTCCTGTTGAATTCCCCACCTTCAAGAATGGATAGGAGCATACAGAGAAACCCTGTCTCGAAAAAAAACAAAAAAAAAAAAAAAAAAAAAAAGAATGGGTAGGAGCTAGTGACTCGGGCATAACCTCATGGCCAACAAGTCTTTAGGTAAAACTTCTTTAGGCAGAACTGCCCAAGCTATATCCCTTCCCGACATACACAACTGCTAGGAGGCACTAGGAAATTGGGGGCTATACACTTAGGAGTCTGGTTTTCCTTTATCTGCCCTACAGTCAACACCCAGCTGGGGCCAGGCACTGCCGTCTCCAGCGCAACTTGCCTTCCAGGGACTCTGCTTCATGGATGTGGGTCTCTGCCAAAACAGCAGATTCACCCTAGGGGTGCATGCCTTTACTGGCTTCTGGGTTGCATGGCAGTCTACGTCTGGCACCACCTTAACACTCTGACTTATGTGCCCTCCCACTCCATTGAATGGAGATTATAAACTGAACTTCAGCTATCACTTTTTATTGCATCAGAGATTGAACACCCTGCTACAGAGCTACAGCCCCTCAAATCACTTCCCCACAGGAAGCTTCCAATACTCAAGGCTTCTATACTTGGACTTCCCAATCCAAATTACCAAAATAAAAAAAGAACACACACAAAAAGAAAATCTAAAAAGTGCTATAAGGAAAACCACTCAAAGTTCAGCTTGTATCTTGCTTTGACAAAAATGATCCCTAGCCTGGGTTGGAGACATTTTCTTCCACCTGGAGCAAATCAGACAAGTCTAAGTGTTACCCACAAGAGACAGAGAAGGCACAAGCTGCTGTACTGGAGCACAGAACCGCACACCTGTTCTGCAAAGGGCCACACTCAGTTATTAGCCTAGTGACTCTCAACACAGACAGCTTTGTCACCAGGAAACATGACAATATCCAAAGAAACTTTTGGTTATTACAAATGAAGGCAGCTACTGACATCCAGTAAGCAAAGACTAGGCATGCTACTAAACATCTTACATCTTCAGTACAGTCTCTTCATCCACAATAAAAAAATGATCCAGGGGCTGGTGAGGTAGCTCAGTGTTAAGAACACGTGATGCTCCACAAAGAACCTAGATTTGGTTCCTTGCATTTGTATGGCTGTAACTCACTCCTGGGGATCTAACGCTCTCTGCTGACCTCTGCAGACATTGCACACATGGTGCACACCCACACATGAATTTTGTTTTAATGATTTCTTTAAAATAGAATGATCTAGACAGGCAGTGGTGGCACACACCTTTAACCCCAGCACTCCTGAGGCAGAGGCAGATGGATCTCTGTGAGTTCAAGACCAGGCTGGTCTACAAAAAAGTTCCAGGACAGCCAAGGCTACATGTAGAAACCCTGTCTTAAAAAGAAAAAAGAAAGAAAACAATCCAGTTCTGCTGAGGAACCCTGTACTCTGCCAGGTCACATTACATCTGTCAACGATTAACTTTTGTTGATGTTCTTTTAGACTCCCCCCCACTCCCGGATGCTGGGTCTCACAGCCCAGGCTGGCTTCCAACTACATTGCCAATGATGACATTGTAATTCTGATCCTCCTGCCTCCACCCCACCCAAAAGGGGATTAGGTAAACACTGTCAATAAAGCTATAGCCCAAGTCCCTTTTCTCCTCTTTCTGTCTTTTTTCACAGCCACTTTAGCAAACACTGTGGCATCCTGTTTTAAATCCTTTAAAAATGTAAAATTTAGAGTTTATGAGATGGTTCAGCAAGTAGAGGGGCTTGTAAGCAGGCCAGACTACCTGAGTTTGCTCCCTGGATCACAAGGCTAACAAATAATATGCATGAGTAGTATGACACACATTCACCTGCACACACACACACACACACACACACACACACACACACACACACACACAGGGGGGGGGAGAGGGAGGGAGGGAGGAGAGAAATAATTTTAAAATGTAAAATCATAATGTAGCTCAGTTGGCAGGATGCTGGCCTAAGCCAAATGATACATGCCTTTAATCCTAGTACTTGGGAGGCAGAGGCCAGTCTCTATGAATTTGAGGCCTGGTCTACAGGGTAAGTTCCAGGCCAGTCTAGGTTACATAGTGAGTTCCTGTTTCAGTCAGTACTACCATTAATTATACAATTCTTGTCTAGTATGCATGATGCCTTAAGTTTGATTCCCACAATCACATAAAACTGGAAGTTAAGCCAGGTGGCGGTGGCACACACCTTTAATCCTAGCACTTGGGAGGCAGGGGCAGGTAGATCTCTGTTTCTACAGAAAGAGTTTCAGGACAGCCAGGGTTTATACAAATAAACCCTGTCTCAAAAAACCAAGACAAACAAAAAAACATAAAACCAAAACCAAAGCAAATTTGAGGCAAGCCTTGGTTAAACAACACTATTTAATCCCAGCACTTGGGAGTCAGAGGCAGACAGATCTCTGAGATAGAGGCTAGCCTGGACTACTGAGTGAGACATCCAAAGCTACAGAGAAACCCTGTGTCAAAAAGACAAAAAAAAAAAAAAAAGGTAAAAACAAAAAACAATCTGGGCCATAAAAAATAAGAAAAAAAATAAATCTTGGGCCATAATTTCCAACTCTATAGGGTGTCATTAGAGCTCACCAATACACTAACAAGGAGTCAAGGCTCTGGTGTGTCAAGCTCTAGAAAATAGAAAGCAGAGCCTGTTGTTCTGAGATGGGGAGTGGTGCAAGTTACCCATCTTCCAAAACAAGAAACAGGGACCTTCCAAAAACAGTCTACCAGCCATTGTGCCCTAAACCACATCGTTCTGGTGCGCCCACCACCTCAACCCTGTGACCAGCTGTCCACACGACAAGGAACATCTTAGCATTCACCTTACTCAAACACTGAGATGTCTAGGTATATATTGATTTCATGAAACATTTTTCCATGTCAGAAAATTGTCTCATTTGGCACATGATTGACATAAAATCAAGACCTTAGGTCAATAAACTCAAACTGTTTACAAGCTCTTATGTTTAAGTATCCATTTCCATAAGCATGTGAGCACCTCTTCCTGTCTTTGGTCTCTTGGGGAGGTCTGTCTGTCTCAGGTGTACTAATGATGCCTGCCACAAGGTGGAGGGAAACTCCGTGAAAATGAAATCTGTTGGACCCGGAAATCATCAAGCAATGTCTTGAGACCAGTTTTTTTTTTTTTTTCCTCAGATTGCAGATAAACACACAGCGTCCTATTCATGCTTTTTTTTTTCAACAGTCTGATGTCTCTATGTGGGATGGACAGAGAAAAGTGATGCAAGCTCTGTTAGATTATCAATCATATAAAGAAGTCTGGCCTGGACCCATGGGGGTAAGCTCTGAAATCAGTGCTGCTGAGTGATCAGGCTGATCCATAAAGGGGTACATCACCATGGGAAATAGTCAGAGCCTATCGGGATAGTTTACTTATATGCAGCTTCCAAATGTCATAAACGTTCAGTATCGTCTGGCAACTCAGAGCATGAATAATGAGAAATAACTTTTAATAATCGAGGCTTCACTTTTAAGTTTTGCTGAGGAAACAATCTTAGATATAGAGAAAACTGGACAGTAAACTGGGCACAAGCAGACACGGATTTCTGACCAAAGCTCCTCCAGTGCGGCGCCAAGTAGGGTCTCGGCTGGATGATCCAGCACTCCAGCTGCGCAGTGCTCCATTTCCAGTCCCTGCACGAGGCTAGTTGACGCGACAAGCCCGGATCATGAGCAGCTGCAGGAGAATGAAGACCGGAGACGTGATCAGGCCGAACCAGAGCTCTCGAGTCTGCTCCACTAGCTTCTGGCACAGCAGCATCTCAAAGACAAACTTGAGGCTAAGAACTGTGAGGACCCAGAAGAGGCGCAGTACAGCTAGTC